TAATGAATTTTTAATAGCGTGCTCAAATTCCTTTTGTGTTTATTCTCTGTGAACATTTGAATAACTGGGTTTTACTGGAATAGATTTTATGGAATGTGAGTTTCAAAGACATGTTAGAAGTACTAATTGTAACTGAATATATGCCCCTTTTTATCCTTTTTTTTTTTTCCTTTTATTTTTTTTCCTTTTACTTTTTTTTTTTTTTCCTGGAAAAAAATTTCCTTTATTTATTTTTTGCCTGGTCTCCTAAAATACAGAACATAATTTTTCTTGGCTGACCAGTTACAGCTCTAGTGTACTTTTTTCCAATGTTTAGAAAGATTATTATTCTGACAGTTCTGCCTGTCTCCCACCAAAAATCTCCCTACAACTTTTAGGACATTCAAGTAGACTGTTATTGAGCTACATATGGACAAAATGGACAAAATCTGAGGGAATTTAATTATGAATCCCATCAAGGAACTACATTTTAGAATGGTCTTACTCATTGAAAGTGTGCTTCAAAGCCACAAGTTTTTCTTCAAAGGCTGCATCAATCCAGACAGTGTGTACTTCAGAGAATTGGCTTTCTTTTCTCTGTGGCTTTCTCATTGTTAGGAAGCTGATATTACAATACAAAGTTTATATGGTTTGCAGCTCTCATGAGATGTTCCAACTGGCTGTAAACAAGATGGCTGAAGTAGTAAGAACAGATTAATAATGGAATTAATGTCACCTGCCTTTAGATATGTACTTGGTAGATCTTTACTTCTGAGCTAATCAGCATAGGCTATTATTTACAGTCAATAAAGAGAACTAGGCATTTCTAGATTATAATTCATCTGACAGTTTGGACATCTTTGTCAGGGTGATTGTGCTCTAGATGAGTCTCCATTTGTTATGAATGGAAACTACATGACTAACAAGATACAGGTATCTAAGTTGTGAAGGTCTGTGTACAGTCAGTTGTGTAAGTATTCACCCTGGGTCATCCACAAGTTTTACACATTATATTCTAAATTTTAGGTTGACATGTCTGTGTTAGCTATGTATCTCAGCTAACTGTTTCACAGCCAGCTTTGATTGGCCTATATGGTATGTATAACTGTTCTTCCTTTCCCATCTCCCTCATTGTCCCTAAATTAGAACTAGTCAAAATAATGCTTCAAGCACTGTTTCTTCATGCTGCAAGACCAGATTAGAAATACTCATACTATCCTCTTTTGTGTTCTTAGACAGTGTAGGATGTTAAATCTTTTATTGTTTGTTTGTTTTTGTTTCTCCTGGTCAATTGTAATGGCATAAGTTTCACTTGTATGCAGGTCTTTGATGAAATTAAAGGTAGTTAAATTGTAAGTGAAGATTGCAGAAAAAAAAAATATTTGAAATAGGAAAAAAAAAATGGTTATTTTCTATTTGATTTAACCTAGGAAGTTTATCATTAGTTTATCATGCACTTCAAATATTATGTAAAAGCAAAATGGACGTATTTCTGTCTCATGCCAGTCAAGGTAGATACATTAAAGTCACTGGACATGAAACAGTCTGATCTAACTTAAGGTCTGGCAATTGTGAGTAAGTACTCAGAGTCTTTTTATGAACAGTTGCAATATGGGAATAGGAAATCAAAGAAAGTTTTCTTAAATCTTCCAGTTAGGTAGTCTAAAGCTTGGGTTTCCTTTGATTTCTGTTGCAGTTGCATAAACTCCCTAGGTAAAGGTTGAGCATATGAAAGATTTTCTTAAGCTCATTGTCTCATATTTTCGTTTGATCTTAACAAAAGCCTTGGGTAAAAGCATACCATGTTATGATTAGAAAACACAAGACTCAGTGTTCATCTTCAGATCTGTTTTTGCTCTGATGTACCTCTGTTGATTGCTATTCTGATTGTCCTATTGACTTCCTGATCTGTTACCTGTTAGAGCTGTTACCTAAGGTTTCTCTTTGATAGGTGGGGACAGCAGGGACTGAAAATGTTTCTTTGTATAATAGAGAGTTAAAATGGAGAAATCACTGAGTCAGAGAAAGGAAGAGTGCTTTGGTTAATCCCTCATTGACACATCTACTGTTCTGATAGACAGACAGACAGATTCCTGACACTGCTGACACTGTTCTTAGGCTCCTTTTGGAGTTTATCCCAATATTTTTTAGAAAGTGTTTATTTATGTATTCTTTATGATTTCACAGCCTTTCTGGCACATAGAATTTCTCTTTCTATCCTCAGGGACTAGGAAGAATGCTACTTGCTTTTACAGTAGCTTTTTATATATTTTAAAATTATCATGTTTTCTAAAAGATTTTTATTTTTTTTATAATACTTTGATAATACTTCTGTATTTTCTAGGAGTTCCTCTTATGTAGTCACTGTCTACCAAAACTACATTTTTTTTCCTCAGTCAGAGGAAAAAAAGCTTGATAAATTCAAGTCCAGGTCTGACTGGTGAGCAAGATTACCTAGCTAAGACATATTCTTATGTCCTACTATAGTTGTATTAATTTGGGCAACAGTTAGACGCTCCTGAAAATCTCCCATTGATTCTGATGTTCTTGAAGGACACATTCTGCACATTGGTGGTGCACAGATATAAAGATATCCACTAGTTTTGGAGAACTGTTCAAATTTAGAGTGTTTATTTGTGATGGATAAAGTATTATAACTGCATATATCTTTCCTTTATGTAAAGATGGATCTTGAAAAGATTTAAAATTAGGTTATATGGTTTTATGTTTGATGGGATGGAAAGGAAGAAGAAATGCTTCCCCACCTGCACCATGGCAACTTTCCTTCACATTTCTTGAAGCAAACTGACATGCTGAAATGGGTAGAGAAACACCACTCCACTGCTGCTTTTTGTGCTAGACACATGGTTAAGAATGCGATTGTACATTCATGTCTAGAAGTAGGTTGCTGCGCTGTACTTTGCCTCCACTGCTGATTCATCTGTCCGTGTCACTGTTCTGTGCAGAAGGAAAATACAACTGGATTGCCTCAGAAGCATCAAGGAATTTACTTCACAAACTATAAAGCAAGTTTACATGGCTTTTTGAATCTCAAATTGGGAAAAGCAAGCAAACAAACAATGGAAAGAAAAAATTCCACACAAGATACTAGAAACAATGCAAATTTTTACCTAGGAGAACAAATAAAAAAATCCCCAGCAACCTAAATAAATCCTAAGGGACATAAGATATTCAGCTCCCATAAAAATTCAACAACTGCTGCATACCTAATCTCCTTAGACCTTGCAAGACTCCTTTGGGAGAAGTTCTGTCTGTCTAAATAAAGTTTGTGTCTGGAACACATTTTGGTAAGTATAACTCAGCTGGTTGGTTATGGAAAGACAAAGCTTCAATAAGATTAAATCCTGGTGTTATGATTGTCAATACTTACATCTGTGCATCCAAAAGTGAAGAGTTTCATTTAACAAAAGCAAATAAGGTGATCTGCACCTTTCTGAATGTTACTGACCTGATGAAAATAAGTAACTATACTTGTTCTGCTGAAGCAGATAACACTTTCTTCATATTTATTCAGTGTTTTACAGGTTATATGGGTAGAGGGGGGCTAACATGTATGACTACGGGAAATGGCTGTACAATTAGTTGCGAGAATTTGATATAGTGTATTGAAATGTAATTTATTAGGAAAGATTAATAATCAAACAAAACAAACAAAAAAGCAAATTTTTAGTAATTGTTTCTCTCATATTCAACAAGTCTTAAGGTGTCAAAAGTACTCCATATGTCTCTGTACAGTAATATTGACCAAGCCAAAGCAGAGAAACAGGATCACTGCTCATGTTCACAGAAGGTGAAGGGATGAGCAGGGAGCACATTTGTACACTATGCCTCTCCTTGCACATAATGATTTCCATTTTCATGATGAGGATTTCCATAACAGAATAAGTATAAACCTGGTGTGATTTAAGTACAGTGAATATAGTATGTCTGATTTACTGAGCAGTCAGAACATCTGGATAGCACATTTGTAATAATTCAGTAGGATCTTGAGTGCGTCAACATTATTTTACTGTAGATGTGACATCCACTTTTAATGTCACTTTTCATTTGGGATCTCCAGAAATCCAGCAACCAGGACAAACTGCAAGATGTCCACAGACACCAGACAATGCAAAAAGTATTCAAATTCTATTCAGAAGAAAAAAAAAAAAAAAAAAAAAGAGGAGAGAGAGAGAGAGAAAATGAATAAACAAACACAAATGGATATGTAATAGACTTACTCATCAGTAAAACATCTAGAGTCTTTACAAAGAAGTATGTAATGCATTATTGGCACAAAATACTGTATTGTGATTTGTCCTGTAAACTGTTCTTGTCAGAATGATGTTGGCTGGGTGACTTTAAATGTTCATTTTCTTGAATACTTATGATATTTGGAACCAAGATTTTTCACACAAATTCGTTGTAGTAAAGATTTGCATTCACATAAATAGTTTCATGCATCAGTAGAGATAGTTAGTAGAGGCCTTTGAGAAAGTATTGATAAGTATGTAATATTCTTATCTGTATTTTAGTATAGGCAATTATACAATCAATTTAACATACTACTTGATTCTAACATTCATTATCCATTTACCTTTCCTGTGCTTTTCACAGAAGTTTATAAACCTCCAAATTTTTAAAATGAAGAATGCATTTAATGAAGAATGCATTTAAAAGATACGGTCTCAGGTCTCAGTCAGAAAATAGAGGCAAAGAATCATGTCAAAACTCAAAATTATTTCTCTCTCTTGAATTTTGTTACATATGAGTTATATTTGTGAGTTTTGAAATAATTCACCTTTAATATCTGGCTTTATTTTACATATCATTGAGAAGAACTGGGGTAGATAAAAAGGACAACAGAAAAATATTATTTGTTTTTCCTGCACAATTGATAAAATATTGTGCATCAAAATAAACCTGAAATCTCATGCTTTTACTAAGGCCAGCATTTTTCATTGAAATAGTAACACAAATTTCAGTTAATTCTAATGCAGCCTTTTTTGCTCCTGAGGCAGCAGTCAAGGAAATCCTAATTCGGAAGCATTTCAGACCTACAAACCTACAAGTAAGGAGTACACTGAACTGTTTTGCATTGTTTTGTGGTTCATAAGCATTTTTTTTAATCAATTCTGTTATATTTGTGTGTTTTTTTTTTTTCCCGTTGTTTTTTTTTTTTTTTTTTTCTTTTTTTTTTATATGGTGTTAATGTTTATTTCTCCCATTTTTATATTCATCAGGGCTACTCTGGGCTACCCTGCTGTCATAGACAGTGAATGTATCCAGAATCATTGGGTGACCTCCCCAAAATGTGCCATGAAGGAAAGCACTGAATTTTAAGGGGAAGATCTGCCTTCTGCTTGTAGGATGAACCTCACTAAATGAAGAGCCACCAAAGGAGAAAAGGAGGTATAGGTACAGATTGCTCTATATTATCTCAGTTTCTCTAGAGACCTTTTTTAATTATGAGCAAATTATAAGAACAGCAGCTTCCACAAGGCAAAGACAGTTCTGTTCTGTCTGCAACTCCCTACAATTATTTTTATAAATGCTTAGTAGTAGAATTGCAAGACATTTTTATCTGTTTCTGAGATGCCTAATTTAACATGGGTGATAGGCTGGCATCCTTCCTCCCTCTCCTGCATCCTCTCTGTGATGCCCACAGTGAAACACTGATGCTTGACATGTCCTACTTGCACAAACAGGTTGCTGAGGGAGACAGAGCTGAATGCAGTATGTGGGGATTTAAAACAAATGGGAAAAAAAAAAAAAAAAGTGACCAAACCTAAATGTTTAAAATCACTTAGCATGAAGCAAAACTTCAAGCTAGTTCCCCACTTTGAAGGGGAATGGAACTGCAGTGTTCAATGTTGCACCAAAAACTAGCTAGCAAATGCTAACCTGGCAATGGCTGGTTACAGAGTCACATGTGACTTATCCTGGGCGTGATCCAGAAGGCTGTACCAGTAAGCATAGAGATACTCTGGAAGACAAATAGCTAAATACCTGCAGTACAATCTGTTTGCCATAGTGTAGATAGATCTTAAACCAGCTAGGACTATACGCTGTTTTTCAAGCAGAAAAGTGTGTGTGTGTGTGAGAGAGAGAGAGAGAGAAAACCTCAATGAAACCGTAATCTTAAACTAATAAACTAAGTGTTTAGTAACACTTTGTTATCTTTAGATAACCAACTGCAGTGAGTCCTGGATGAAGGCCCATTGCAATAAGAGTGCCATGTGTGCCTCTGATGTCTATAAGCACCATTCTGCCACAACATCTATTGCATTTATCAGGGTCATGACATTTTGTGCTTCAGAAAATCGTAAACAGGCACTCAAAAATCAAGGTAATTACAAGCCATGTCTGATTAGAAGAATTTTGGCCTGAATTGCAGGAATGTATTTCAGGAAAAAAAAAAAAAATATATTGGGGGAGTAAGCCATTATCTGATGTTTAAAAACCCAAACATCAAAAAGATAATGCCTCTGGGAAGAAATATAAATGGTAAACTGAAAGAAGATTAAAAGTGACTAAGTCATAAAGTCTTTAAGCTATGGAAATAGAGAAGATAAAGCAAACAGCTAACTCAATTGATGTACAGCTGAAAGTCTGTACAATTACAGAGAAACTCCTTCTGTTGCTTTTACATAGGCTCTTTATTCCCATCAGTCGATGAACAGGGGATGAACAGCTTAGGGAGATTAGGTTATGGGTATAATAAATGTTCAAAACACTTCCAAAATGAATGCAAATGACAAATGTAAGAGTACATGCCCAAGAATAATTTATGATCCTTGCCTTGGTCAGAAAAATATAATAGCACCAGCAGTTCATTATGCACAGAAGCAGACCCAAATTTGACCCAGCTTTCTGCTACATTCTTCAGGAAAGTAAATGTTATCTTGATATTTCATAGTAAATGCTCTCATTGGTACTCCTGCTGGCATCTGTCTGTTAGATCATGACATTTCCATACATATCCTCTTTCCAAAGAAAGAAGAAAAATGCTAAAAATATTCTGACATAGTAATGTTAGTTTTCAAACAATAAGCCTGTGCACCTTTTAATAACTCTAATATCTTGGGAAGGAAAGTTTCTTGTTGAGTACCCTAATTCGGTTAAAAGAATACCCTAGCATCACTGAAATATCAAAACATCTTAATGACTGTAACTATTTTATCATTTTAGTTTTTTACCTGGTGAGCACAGAGAAGTTTTTGGTTTTGTTTCTGTTTTTAACTATTTACATTTTTGTTGGATCTATGGAAAGCAGTATGAAATGGCTGGAAATGAATTGTCACAGGGATTTTTTGTACAGGCAGATTTTCTTACAATTCTTTCAAATGACCTTTAAATTTCAAGAAAGCCATGTTTTAGAGAACACAAGCAGAGTGCTGACTATGTTTTAGGTCTGATTATACTCTATTCAATGCATTATATGTTCCGTTCCCAGGCATAGTTTTAGAGGCATTAAGAAAAACATTAAAATAATTTGACCCACAGCTGCTAGGCTTGTGCTAGGTTATTACCATGTGAAACCAAATAAAACAAAGATGCTTAATTTATTCTGAGTGTAAATTCTAAAAATAATGTACATATTCTGCTGTTAATTACAAAAACATATGTATAAAGGAATACTGAAAAAACATGACAAGAAAATGTCCAGAAAGATTAATTTTGCAAAGGCAAACACTTGAAGGATTGTACTTGTATTTTCTTATGTGGCTTTAGTTCTGAGTGAGACAACACCCTGTGGTGAATATATGTGGTCTTGCAGCTGAAGTGTTGTGTTGCACAAGCACAATGTCAAAGGAATTACAATTGTCTAAGGAAGTGTAAATCTGTCATGTCCTAAGAATTGAGCTTTTCAACCAACATAGCACTCAGTTAAGCGCCTTTTGTGTAAAGATTATGTAATTTATTAAAATTTACATTTAATGAAAAGCAGTTGGAAGGCTAAGAATATGTTTTCCCCAATGTTATGGGGAACTAAATTAAATTTACAAGACCTTAGCATCTGGGAGGGAAATGGAATTCCTGTGCCCTGTGTATGGGTGTGTCACTGTTTTTGTGTTGCCGTTTACTCATCAGGTTAAAGCATTCAGGATTAGTCTCTGCTTTAGCAGGAATGCATGTACAGAAGGGCAATTGTAGTTTATAGTGCAGAGAAAGCTAAACACCTTTTCCACCAGGGAGGTGAGAGGAAAGAGATACTTTCCTAGCCTGAAGTCTTTCCCCTATCAAAGTTCACAAGCTTTCTGTATAATAACTAAATGGATATATTAGACCTAGAAAATCACCTGTCACCTTCTTATTTATTAATCAATGATCGGCTTTTTAGAATTTCAGAGCATTTGACTCTCTAATTACTTATTGACAAGATTTTATGTTATTTATATTTCAAAGAAATATAAAGAGTAAATGATACAGCCCTCATCTTGTCTGTCTGATCTATACTTTGTATCTACATTTGTATTGTTCCCACCTGTTTTGACCCTCTCTTTTGCATTTCTGTTATTTTGTTTTCATCAGTTCAGAAGGGATGATTGCTGACGGTATGGGCTACTGGATAACAGCAATAATTATACCATTTCTTCCTGGATGGAGATAACACTATACAAGGACCTTGATGGCTGAGGAGGGCAGAAGGCAGGCTCTGACACCCCATCAGTCTCCACCTGAGAGGACAATATTATATTCCTCCCTATGAAAACGTTGGAAGTAGTGCTAAAGCTCTGTAGCAACATGGATGGAGATGTTTACGAGTCAGTCTTCAGTTCTAAACTGTGCTTCCCAACAATGATTCAAATCAAATAATGATTAAAAGCAGTTTAATCATCCAGCCTGTACTTTGCCACCATTACAAAAAAAAAACAACAAAAAAAAAACAATAAAACAATGACAAAAAAAAAAAACCCTCTTCTCACATAACCTGGGGCTCTATATTAGTACTTGGAAAAACCTCTTGTGACTCAGCAACAGAACATTGTACCTTTGAAAGGATTTATGCACACATTTGAAAATGCTCTGTATTATTGATGGTTGTGGTATTATTGATACCACAAAATTTGAGCTACATGCAAGTTCATAAAACTCATCAATGTGTGTTGACAGTTTATATTATAATTTGACAAGTAAAGAACACTTCTTCATTTGATGATTTTCATCTGTAACTGATGACACATGCATTTTATGCTAATGACGGCCTGAATTTGACCTATTTAACCTGTTATTTTGGTTCTAAAGTACAAAGATTATAATGGATTTTTTTTTATTTTTTTATTTTTTGGATTTATTTTTTGAAACCTTGCTTCTTTAAAATATCTAGAACAACAACAAAAAAGTTTTAATTTTATTAAAATAGCAGCTGCACGGTGCTTTAAGTTTCTAACTTTGGTCTTTTGTACGCTATAAAATCCATTCTTAACTTACCAGCATAACTCTCATTAATTAATTAAGCTTTCCATTTGATTTCCAGACATGTGTATTATATAGGATCTAGTCCTTGTTGGAAAGATTTGCTCCAGAATTTAGCTTTTTAAGGAGGAAAAGTTCTCCATGAAAAATCGCTTTTACATTTCTCATGAAATAAAAAGAATTTTGCAAATTAGAATAGTAGAAAAGCTATCTGTCTTGCTGACCTTGCATTCCCAAATCTACAGAGTTCAAAATGTAGTATTTAAAGGTGTCTGATGTTCTCTTCAGGTCTTTAGCTTTGTAACCTAAGGTTATAGGGTAAATGTCAGTTATCTTAGTTATTACTTCCAGTTTCATGATTACCCCAAGATCAATGCTTTTTATGTAGTATCTCCAATTACTAGTTTAAAAATCTTTTAACTGTTCAATCTGGGGAATTTATATAAAAATGAACAATGTAGAAGATTCAGTACTGGTTTTTCTGCTCAGCATTCTGCATTCTTCAACTCCTCAAATTCACAATCATGTCTTAAGAACAGAATTTTTGCTTGCCCAAGTAACTACAGCTGTGATGCCAGCATATCAGAACAATTCAGTGTCACGTTATCACAGCAACAGTAAGGCCACTGTATTTTAACAAAAGCAGAACAGACAATGAAGACATAATCATATGATATGAATTTTTTCTTGAGACACACAAGACAAAGCCCCACCTAATGAAACAGTAGTCCTGTTTTCTTTCAGTTAGACATCTGAGTTTTGGAATGGCTTAGTCCATACGGAGCAATCTTTGTTTCACTTTCCAGGCCAGAACAAATTTATGCCCAGCTTACTTGGTACACACATAAAGAAACTCAGATCTGTCTGCAGCCATGTGTATATGCTTGCCATATCTTGAACTCTTTTCTTCTGTGCAGAGCTGTATAGGTAGGAAGCAGGATCAGAATCATAGCAACTATTCTCCTTTCTCATGCTAAAATATTCTGATGGATCACCATCAGCTGCCAAGCCTTCTGCTGCAATTTTGCCCTGGGAAATGTGGCATAAGGTGAAGATTTTCTGTGAGAGTTCACAAAATATATGCTTTCACCATATCAGGAGGTACTTCTGCATCCTGTGAAGAGGTGGTGGCTGAGTCAGCATGGTCCACTCCTCCTTCAAGTGAGGTAGGACTATATTCATCTTTCTGGGGATAAATATCATATTTTTGACTTAATTTGCAGATGCTATTTTTGCATCTCATCTATGAAAATCTGGTAGCAAAAATTCCTAATTTGATTTGCACATTGAAAACAACATTAACCATCACAACTATCTTCCAACATCTCTTTTTATCTGGATTTTTTATAAGAACATATCTTTTAGCATAATAAGTGTTATTCCTGAGAACATCTTGTGTATTTGCTTGTTTTGTTTAGAACCTGGTTTTCATTTTCTCATCTGTATTTCTCATAGCATGAATAGATACTCAAGGGGTACCTCTGCTTACTAGATACAGATTGAACTATAAGATGAGCTGTTGAGTGGTGAGTGATGTGGGCTCAGGAACAATGGAACTCTAGCTGGTGAGACACCCATATAATGGGATTTATTTCTTTTCTATCATATTCTCCTTTCCACATCTTTTCTTTGTCTTACTGAAGGTGGTATAATCCTTTTGGGATCTATCAGAGAACTTCAGCCTTTTAATGGCTGATTTCCTAACAAGGACTGACTTCACTCACCAGTCAGTCATTCTTAAAATAAAAACCAATAAAACTTTTCCCTTGGTGTAGCAAAAGGAACTCTTGAAATACCAGTGGAGGATTTTCTTTATCTGCTTGGATGCTAAAGGAAACAGAATCTTCCTAATGTACCAAGCAGAAAGATGAGCTCAATGAGCTGATAATTCTGTAAGCATTTTTACCACCGCATCATGAAATGGTTGCTATGGAGAGAAGTTGCTATGGCTGCTAAAGTGACTGTAAAGCAATGTTTCTTCCTTTGTTTTCATGAAAGACCTTATGATTTGCACTTGAAATTAAATCTGCTTTTCTTAAGGAACACAAAATATCCCAACACCATGCATTTTACTTGAATCAAGAGGATAAAAAAAAAAAACAAAAACAAACAAACAAAAAAAAACACAACACAATGCCTGCCTTACTGGAAACCTGCTCAATAACTAAACATTCGTTGTAATTTCAACTAAAACTATGGGATACATATATGTTGTTCCTCACTGTCTCCTATTTCCTCTGCACTTTCTGCTGCCCATTTGAGATGTTAATTGCCTGAAGATAAAATTGTTCTCCCTTTCATCTGTTGATCTAGTCGAACTGTTTCTCAGTATTCTAAACTCAATTAGTTATCCAGCTCCTATTGACTTCTGTCAAGAAATGTAGCAGTATGAGCTAATGTGTTCTGAGTGTATTGCCTGAAATATGATGACCATGGTACTGCTATGGGCAGTTTTCTATTACATGTAATTAAGGTAACCTCAGTATTATTATTTTTTTTCTGTGATATGTAGACCTTTGCAATCAAATATGTTGTGGATATGGAAAAAAAAAAAATAAATATATTATTGCCTGGAATTCCAACTCAGTATTAAATATTTTTTTCTTTTTCTGTTGAACTTTCTCTTTCATAGAGATAAATATTAGTAGGTTTTCCATTTAATGAATGTGCATTTTTCATATTACTAATACTTAATATTTAGATGTGTCTTAGCAGGCATAAAAAATTATATTTATTATATGCCTTTTCTTAGAGATTATTAATTTGTATGTGAAGGTTAAAATGCAATACTCTAATAACCATGAACTCATAACTCATTCAGTTCAAGAGTTTTCAAAAGACCCACATCAGGACTGGATAAGTCTGTATTCCTACGTGGTTGCATTGTGCTTATGCCATGAATGAAGTCAGATCCAGAAAACAGAAGCCAATGAAAACAGCATATTCTACAGCTACAAGTAAATACTGTTCCTCTAAATGCTTCTACACTCCTAACAACATATTGAAAAAAATGAAATAATCATCTCTAACTAGAGAGGTTTTCTCAGAATCTTCACTTACTTTCTCTATTTATTTACCCATTCATTCTCATTAACAGCTCTCAGAGTTCCGGGATGCCACGAAGGAAATGTAACAGGTGTGTAGAGAGAGATATCAGCATCTAAGGAACAAAGATTGCATTTTCTTGAATTCATAAGCTGTTGAAAAGAAACTATTAATTGTCACAAATAAAATTTCCTAGATAATAGATATTCAAGTAACCTGTTTCACCTTTTCCCATTTTTAAATTTTTATTTTTATTTTCATCCTAGAGTGCTATTTGAAAATGGGATTTAATACCAAGGCTTGACACTAAGAAGGATGATGGTGTGAGATGGTTAGCATATGGTGAGTAAAACTATCTGTAGCAGAAAGCACAAGTCTGACTCCCTAGACATGTTTCTTCTCTTTTGAACAGGTGTGTGGGACATAAATAGACAGAAACAGGTTGTGGGAACCATTTCATCTTGAACAGTGGTAGACAAAATCTGTTGTTTCTCAGTAGTTCCACAGTAGAATCTTCTTTTAGGGATAGAACAATTTTCTCTTGGTGCTATGGACTAGCCAGCAAGCAAAAATATTACTCTTAAGTTACAGTACCATGTTTGTTCTGCTGCTAGAACTCCAAAATTGGAGTTGCTGCTTTTTGGTACTCTATTTTCTCCTGTAATTATTAAAGAGTTAAAACCCACTGTTGAACAGTAAATAACATACTGCTGCAATAATTTGCTTAGCGTATTTTAAACGCTGCAGTTGCATAGTAATCTGAACTGTGAAGGAATGCATCAATTTTTTCAAAAGGCTTTACTCTGCAGAACACAATTTCAATTTCCATAAAGGTGAGATATATATAAAAATACGTAAGTGTGCATCTTGTGTGGTTTATATGCCAATACATATATTCTGCAAAAAATAACTGGAAAAAAATAAATGTTTCTTGTTCTATGCTTCTCTAAAATATATTTGCATTATGAAACAAGCTCTTAATGTTACACTGAGAACAAATGGAAGTATAACCATTTTGCAAATGCAGAGTAATCACTAACATCTGCATGCACTTCCTATAACCCTTGTTACTTAGACTCCTCTCATATCTTAATGCTCTTTTTTTCCCCGCCTCACTTTTCCATTCAATAAGTGGTTTTAGAAAATCTTTTCATGAAGCAGAGGCAAATAAATACTTGATCTTTTCATCTTTATACAAAGTACTTGATATTGCAATTCATTTGATTCTTTTCATGACTTTCTTGTAGGTGCAATAAAAGCATACATAGCCTTCCAAATAATTCCAGATAGCTCTCTTATTGTAGGGTGCCATTATATTCCTTAAATTCCTGAACTTTAAAATTAATTTATAATATAAATATATAATTTATTTTAAAATATAAATGTGTACATGAGTGTACAATATTTGTATATGGTATCAAAATGGAGAACATAAATATTTTATGAAGACAAACATAAATTGAAAAAAAAAAAAAAAAAGAAAATGCCACCACCTTTTCCTATTTCTCATATATGGAAACAATTGTGATAATTCTCAGGTACCAATACAATTTCTCCTTACTTTTAGTATCTTATTTTCACAACATTTTGGAAGAATCATTGTTATTTTACTCTTATGACTTAAATAATAAAGAAGTAGAGCAAAGGACATGAATGATATGGGCTGGTCCACAATTGTGGAGCTTTGTAAATTATGGTGTGATAGAATGTAACTGCAGCTAGATATAGAAATCCTCTGAATAAATCCAACTCAGCTCTCAAAAAGTAAGTATCACAGCCTTTTTGGTGTATCAGTGTGAATGTAACAGCTCAGATGAGGGGTTAGATTAATTATCCTGGTGTCATTGCTATAAAAACATGTCTATCTTCTTTATGGGATCCAAGTTAGTAAGACCGTAAAGTATAAGGCTGTGCTCTGTCAACATGTTCAGTGCTTACTGTGGCATTTCTATATGGTAATGATGTGCGTAGCTCACATGTGACCTCAGAGACTACTCAGCTCTAATTGCCTTTTAGCTCCAACATGCTATTGCTTTCCCCTCCATTTCTTCTTCTGTCCTCTTCTCTTTTCTGTATCTGAAAATGGTCATATGTATATTCTTGAGCAAAGAGAAATTTAAGTACATCTTTTCCTCTGATTTTGATCATATGCTGGAACTCAAAAATGTAAAATTTATATCTCAGGATCTTCACCTACTTCTTTGTTTCAATTTCTATCTCATGAATATTCCATGGTAAACTGCTGTCCTGAATTTGTAAAAGAGAAATCTGAGGAGATATTCTGAGTGTCATTTCTGATATTTGCAGTCCCTTGAGTGAAACATTGGGGAAAAATTATCATAGGCAAAGACTCCTAGCTTTAGATCTTTCTTCCACTCTTTCCCTTTGCAATATTTAACTCTGTGAACATGAGGGTGTGCGTACTGTATTTCTGATTCTTTAGGAACTATATGACACGCTTTCTCTGGTATACTAAATTGGTTAGCTCAATTTTATTTGCACTCACTTTCAATCTGGTTGTACATCCATGTCAGCAAAGTCTTGTAAACTCCTTCATGGAATACTTTCATGATGCTAATGAACCAACAGACTAAACTCTTTGGGAGATTTCATGCATGCATACTTGTAATTCACCTCAGTATAATATCCTTCTATGCCAGAAATCCCGCTCAAAATATCAAAATATGTTTTGTTTTATAGTGACAAAGATGATGAGAATCATCTTTGATTCTTTGATGATTCAAAGAATCATCAGAATCATCTTTGACGATTCTTCCAAATTGAAGAATTTCAATTTGTTGATGCTTTTGTGTTCTCCTTACAACCACTTGGACAAGAATTTGTTTCTGAATGCTCATAAAGATGTATCCGTTTGGAGTTAATCCGATACAAGCTGCAGATTTGGAGTTAATGGCCTTGGAAGGATGCCTTCTCTTCTTTAGTTCAGTTATATTTAGAAATCAGTAGATGCTGTAAGCACCTCTTATTCAACAACTTCTGCTTCAGGGACAGTAGTTCTTTTCTTTCACAATTATCTGATTTGCCAGTATCTTCTCTTTTTCCCTACCCACTGCTAAAGATGAAAAGATTGAAAAGTACCATTAGTTACAAGAACTTGTTTGTTTGTTTGGCTCGTTTTTCTTGTTCTGATTTGAAATTAATCATATTCTTGCCCTTTCTTTTATCCCTGCCCTGTGTGTTCTACTTATTAGTAAGAAGATTGAAAGCACACAAGCAGATCTGTTTTCTAAAAGCACGAGTGAAAATAACTGCTTTGACTCCTGTGTACAAGCATTTCTTTAAATCTTTAAAATTGCTATCTTTATAAAACAAAAGCTTTGTAAGAACTTAACTATAATTCATTGTAGTTCATTTATGAATCTACAGTTATTATCAAACCAATTTTATGAACACTAAGCTTTATGAACACTAAACTAAGGTTCATTCTTCTGTGCTGCTTGTACTTTATTCCTACAGAATCCTACTGCTATGGACCAAAAATAATTTGTCGAAAACAGAGAAAGTCCTCTGTCAGTACAGGTGCACGTGAAACTATTTTGTCTGGACAACTGTTAGGGATACATACTGTAGGGTTTTTTTTTTTGCTTTATTTACCAGCAATATTGCTTCATTTTTCCCTCCCACAGAAATTGTACAGATCTGTGCTGCTGTTTCAGGCACCCTTGCTCTGTGCTAGAACAGAGTGTAAGCCTCTGTCCTGATCTACATATAGGTAAATTGCAAACGTGGATTATGGTCTGGTATATAGCAAACAAACTGCTTCAAACAGGTAGTGACATTTTACTCCTTAGTCTTCATTATTTATTTTATAAGTCAGTACACACAAGGTGCAGTGGAGGGAGAATAGTTCTTCCATTGACTCCAGGCACTGCCCCACAGAGGGATGTCTGTAAATAGCGCAACTTGTATTCAGCGCAGTTACTGAATTATTACTGGTCTCCACTATTACTGGTCTCAAGTACAAACAGCCCTTTTACATCAGCCATCAAAAGCTTTACATTTTGCTAGAAGAATACATGTAAACACAGGGACAGATTAGCCTCTGGATGGATGGAGAAATGAGCAGAAAGTAAGTGATTTATGTAGTACACAAGTCAGGTTATGTCAGGCAATGAGTTATTTTGGTTTTGGAGATTTATTCATTTTCTGAGGGGAGAAAAAAAAATGACGAAGAAGGGGAATCTTTATTTGAGAAGGAAAACCTTCATTGGTTTCTAATGGAACACAGAATATAGACAAAGATTGCAAGACCTGTGAGAGAAATGTGTAAGACTCTAGTACCAGGTACTGGGGCACAAGTGCTGGAAGCAAGGCTGCAGGACCTCCAGGAGGGAAGGCTGGTGCTGCCCTGTACCTGATGCAGACAACCCCAGCTGGCTCCAAGGGCATGGCTGGGCATTTGGCTACAAGCTGGGGCCAACATACCACAATTCTCTGGACTCCAGGGTGAATACAGTATTTTAATAAACATAAATTGTAATGAAATTCTACAGATGCATTTTACAACATG